ATAATATCAGGGTGAAGATTTATTGATTTTTCATTGCATAATTAATTGAAAAGTGTCTAATATATATTTTAATATTATTAAAATATCCACTGTGTCATGAATATTCACTTCCGCATTAAAAAGATTTTTTTTAATCACTTTCATTTTTTTATCTCACTTTTCCTCTGTTATTAAAAATGTTTCTTTTTTTTTTTTTTTTTTTTTTTTTTTTTTTAAACGAGACTTTTAACAATAACGTTTCATGTCCACATACGTATATTCGGAAATTATTGCGCATGCCCAGTTACTTCCGAACTTATGGTTGAATATTTAACCAAACATATTAAGGAGCATTTTCTCGCAGTATTCCGCACAATCACGTTCTCAATGTCCTGAAGTTATATGAAGTTACTTCCGAATATATGAATGTTATTTAGGATCATTTTCCTGTTGCATCCCCTGCATTCACGCAGGCATGTTTCATTGTTATGCCCAGATACTTACGAACATAACCGTTTTTTAAGAGATTCAGGGAAATTTCACAAATTTTCGGTAGCTTCCGTACATAAGATTTCAAATAATTGCTCACTTCTAGTGCCAGATGCGCCAATGAAATAATATCAAACTTAATTAATAAGAGATTTTCAAAAAACCGTAAGTTAAAAACGCTAACATAGTGGATTATCATTTAACTTCGACCAAGAAATCAAAACAAACATTTACAATGGACGTAGACTATTTCCTTAAAGCTGTAACGAACGATTCAAGGTACTTTACTCTACCTAAAACTAGGGTTATATGAGCCGAAAAATTATAGGTACATTATTGATTTTGATGAATTCAGCGAAAACAATGCAGCTCATTATTAGTATTATTAATATTTAAAAAAATATTATTAAACTTTTATGGATTATTTAACTTCTTTTAACTAAATTATATAGTTAAAATATACAAATATAATTTTAAAATTGCGGAAATATATTTAGTTTCTTATGAATAGTGCGATTAGACAATCATAATGTTAAACAGAAACCAATAAAAATATTTTTTTCCGTTGAATGAACCAATGGTTAAAAAATCACACAATTCATTTCTAATTTTCATCCATACTTTTCTTCAAATTCTCATTCCATGCCCATGTTTTTAGTTCGAAGGTAGGCTTAAATAGAAAACATTTAACAGCAACAAACATCGTGCTTGTAGCTTTAAGCGCGAGCATGCGCAGTAGCTTCAATCTTACGTACGGGAGCGTGCGGAAGCTAACGTAAAATGCAAAATCTTCCTATTTTCTCGTAGTATCCCTCACGTTCACTTACGCATGTTTTTAAATAATTGAGCATGCTCTGTTACTTCCGAACATAAACCTCATTAAAGTGTTAAAACACTTTCTCGTAGCATCCGGCACTTATCTCTGAATATATCGCAGCTGAAGAGTTTGCGCGGAGCATATCTACGTGAACGTACTTGATGCATTGCGAAAAAGGTAAATCTTTATATAAATCGTAGCTTAACCTCCAATTTCTCCCTTAGTCGTCATTTGGGGAAAGGTAAAGCTTTATATAGGGTGTTCCGAAGAAACCACACTTGATGTAAATTTTTTAATTTCTTTTCAGAAATGAAGTAAAAAAATACGCAGATCACAAATGAATTAAGTGATTGGGAAACAAAACTGCAATCGAAATTCGTCGAATTTCTAGTCAAGAAGACAGGATTTAAATAAAAAGTATAACCCCCCCCCCATCGAAATTAGAATTTTTTTGCCTGATGAATCTCGGAGTTGTTTTTAAGAATCGCCATCCAACTCCTCTCTGTCTCTCTCGGTATTTAAACGCAAGTTTCAATGCTTTCAGTCTCACTTTCCTCAATAGTGATTCGTTATGTTTCTATATGGTTTTTTTTCTATCTTTAATATTGATTTGTGACTCTTAATGTGCATACTTTATTTACTTCCTTTTCTGACAAAGATTCTAAAAATCTTGTATTTATACGAAGGTAGTGCATTTCAATAAAAAGTTGGAATATACTGCAGTGGAGAAAAAGCATGATATGCCGACACCATGATAACATCGAAGGGAAAAGTGTGGAGTGGGGGGATTAACTTAGAGACCCTTATTCTATACACAAAGATTCTATTCTATACATTCTATTTACAAAGGTTATATTACAAGGTTGCTTACTGTGTTAACGAAGCCTTTTCCCTCGTCATTTTGGATTTTAGGTTTAATTTTTAATATTTTTTTTGTACTTAAACTTTTGATGATAGAGTGCCATTCGAGATACATTTCAGATAAGTCTGCATAAAAAGGGTGGCTTTATTCAATTATTAGGAGCAGCACTTCTTCATTTTTAAAGTTTCTATACATTCTTTTACAAAAATGAAAAGCAATAAAAGAAACCAATTTGGATAATGTTGAAACAATTCTATTCAATATAATACTGTATATATATATACAGTATTATATTGAATATAACAGTAAACAAAAATTGCTTAGAATAAAAAAATATAAAATAATAAAAAAATAAATATTAATTATAAAGTACAATAATTGGTAAAAATATATAAGGCAAATTACATTTCAGTGCTGTGAAAAAACACTTTAATAACAAAAATTGGAAAAATTAAGCAACAACACCCATAATAGGAAAGGAAGTAAATAAAACCAATAATAATAATAATAAAAATACTCCATTGAAGTCGGTAATATATATTCTCTATTATCATTTAGCAAAAAATATCTTTATAAACAGTTCAAGGAATTTAATAAATCTTGTTTTAATCAAATTACTTTCCTGAAAATGTATACGGTACTTTAAAATTACTTTCTCCGCTAATTATCGGCAACTTTGTTTTCGAAACTCATTAAAAATTACCTTTAATATGAGCTTCGAAGATTTCGTTTTGTTTTTGCCTACATTCTTTTTACAAATTTACTACTTTCCATATAGTCTGGAATAAAGTTGTTTTTAACAATATTTTCTCGAAGTTCGTTTATTTATTTATTTTTGTAATTAAAATCTCTTCGCATGTTTCAAAAAAATTTGTTTTGAGTGAAAAATACAGAATTAATTTGGTTAATTTTAGATTATTAAGGAAAGTATGTTAAATAATTATGAAAGATATTTTTTGTCACGAGATTTATTTTACGAGTTTTGTTGCAGATTTAGTTTTTAGAATTAAATTTTTTTTTAAAATTTTTTATCTCCTAAATCAATCATTTTTTTTTCCTAAAATATTTTTAGTTTGTATTGCTCTCAGAAAGTTATATAAATGGGAAATGTTCTTTATTGGATAAATTATACACAATTTTAATAAATCATAAAGAAAATAATTTTATACTAATTATGATAAAAAATTTCTTTTGTATCATCGTTAGGCTATTTACGTCTTACAAGAGAGGGATTATGAGCCATTGGCACCTGTCTGGGAAACATGCTTGGGGATTATCCGAAAGAAGTGCCATCACAATTTTGATCCTCTGCAGAGGAGCTCTCATTTCTTAGGCCACTTCCTCAGTTTAGACATAGATCTAAAGGGGAAGGAAATTCGTTTATCTAAAACAAACACGGCTTTTTAAACAGTTTGAAATGCATTAACTGACACTGAAAACATTTTTATGTGTTTGAAAAGCGTACTGATTCTACGGTGTTAATTAGAAAAATGTTGTTACTCACTGTATAGCATATTAAAGATGATCTCTTCAAGCTATTAAGTGAACATTTCATTGTGAGATCAAATATGTTTTAGAGTTTTACAAACTTTGTGGGTCATTATAGTAAGATATATCTTACTATGTATAAAAATCTAAGGATGGTGTCGCAGCTTTCCATTGCTTTCCGTGCATTTTTTATTGTCCTGAAAATCACGTGGTAGGATCCAGCTTTTCTACAATCATTTCCGTATTGTTTTGGTTGCCATCTGCATAAAAATAATATAAGTCTCAAAGGTATTCTTTTTCTATAAATATTTTTATATCCCTAATTTAAACTTATTTTCTCGTACTGCTATTATTACGCTCTTAATTCAAGAGTTTAAAACTAAGAGAATTGTTGTTTCTTTTCATTATTGTTATAATTTAATTGGGTATACTATAGCCTACGTCACAGGTTGTGTTATTCCTACTAAATTTAACCCATGAACGGCATTTTCAGCGAGCCTAACTTCAAGCCACAAATAAACAAACGAAGTGTTTGATCGTTTAAATAGCTGCTTGCCAGATTTTATTGCATTATAAAGAAAAGTAATTGATATTCGATTTTTGATTAATAATTGATTTATGTGGATAGTGGCATTTATGTGGATAGTGGCATAGAATTTAGCATTGCGTCATGGTAAATGTTATTCTTACTAAGTGGAAGTAGTTGTGTTTTTTTAATATTATACCCAATTCTGCTCTACATTTTAAGATTAAGTTATTTAGAAAGGTGGTCTAATCTTATTAACCATTTTTACAATTATATTTTTGTGTGCAAATAACGTTATTATACTGTTATGAATTACAGTTAAAGAGGTCTGTTAAATGATTTAGAGCTTAACGATTAGCTTCATGCGCAATGAGATGAAAGCAAACAGAGTGTTTATTACAAAACAGAGTATTAACAGAGTGCCCGTTTGGTAAGAGAAAATATTAAATTACGGTTGTGAACAATATAATGTTATAACACTATAATGTTATAACACTATAAATGTTATTTTACAAAATTGATTACTTAGAAAGATTACTTCTGATCACCAATAGATCTAAATATCTATAATACTAATAGATATTAGGTGGCACAGGTGTAAGCTAACAGAACTCCTTTAAGTACACACATGTTAAGTGAATAATTTTAATTTTAGTAGAAAAACTGTTTTCTGCCAATAAACAACAATTAATTTGAGCGAAGCAATCATCTGAGATGTTTGGCCCCCTAGATAATTATTATTTGTTTTCTAGGAATTAAGTCAAAATGTCGGTTCAATTTTACTCTGTGTCTCAATTTAGAAAATAATGGAAATTATATAATTCTTTCTTTTATTTCAGATCAATGTTACGCTGTGGCTGAATGCGGACATTTTAAAAGGTCCCGTTCATCCCGATGCTGAACCAGTGAAAGACAGCAATTTCATGATGTTATGCAACCAGTACTTCCCTACAGCCGTCTTGTCGATAGGATGGACAACTAACTTCATACCAACATTTCCCTTTTCCTGGCACTACGAATGGAAACACGTTCGCAAAATGGTCGAGGTCATAAAATGTTTCGGCTACGATGACCACCACCCCACGTTCACGTTTCCAGTTAGAGGTATATTTGCTTCCCGCTCCATCAAGCAGTTGCGGTGGCTTCTTGAAATCATTCCTGGCAGTTCTTTAACTGTTTGGAGCGATAAACAAGATCCCATGCTGCTTCAAGATCTCATTAAAATTCGAACGTCTTTTCCGAAAAATCGAGTGTTCTATGACGTCCCCGAACGTCTCAGAAAGTCATTTTTGACAGTTAAAGACAAAATTAGCTATGACCCTTACCCATTATCGGATCTAAAGGATGACCAATGGGTGACATTGGCTCATGGTTCGGATCATTCATGCTCATCCAATACGTACGCTGGAAACAACACCCTATTGTTCGGAAAGTCCATAACAACCGCCGCTCTCCTTAAAAAATTACTCATACTGGATGGAACGCAATCACTAAAAGTAACTGGAAAAGTTCTCTTTTTCAATGGATATGACCAGTCAGCATCCGGGAATCACGAACTGAATATTGTGCTGACGGATGTTAGTCATTTTTCTAAAAATTCATCCAACAGTGATTTAAATCTGTCTGGTAGTGATACAGACGTGATTTGGGAGGCTCTTAATGGATCCCATTTATACACTTTTAAGCATGACTTTCTAGAAAATTCGACCGACTGTCGTGTCTTCAAGTTGGACACGTCTCAAGATCAATCCTTCCAAGCATGGACACTTCCTTGCGAAGATGTGGACGAAGGCAAATCGTTTGAGGACGTGATCAAAAACGGAATTCCAGAAGTGTCTTCCAGAAAAAGAATGGTTTTACCTAAAGGTCCGTTTATGTTTGGTTTTGTCTCCTCCGGCGATGGTCATGTCGCTGTTTATGATTTCGATATCAATGGTAAAAAGGAAAACATATCAGGTTCACCTCCCGCATACGACACTTCATTCAAATTCATTTCATTATTGTGTATTTCGGTGGCGGTGGGATATTTTATGAAGATGTGTTTTATATGAAAAGCTCTCCATTTCATGGGAGTCAATAGAATAAGCGCCTCAAGGTTACGTGGTTTTCCCACTCTCTACACTTCCCCCTTTTCCGTCGATCACTCCAAATTTTGCTTTTTTTTCCCCTCGTCAGTACGTTTCAGTAAGAAATCGGAATATCCTTGCGTGGGAAAAAGCGAAGGTTTGCCGTGACCATGGTTACGGAGTGGAGAAAAGTGTGGAAAATGAGGAAATTGCGTAAGTTTGAGAAGCCTATTCTATTTAAAAAGAGTATAGAATAATTATGGATCTTTCAGTGACTATATTTTATAATGAGATATAGTTTATTCTTATATTATTGTTTCCATAGACGCAGACTGTGATAAAGATTTCTTGTAGGTGATATTACGAACAAACTATGTAATGAGATGCTTGTTTACTAATGACTTTGTTAATGTGGATTTCCTCAGTTGTGAGAATAATTAAAAACTTTAACTACACAGTCACGTATTTCTTTGTGTTTGCTTTAGAATACCTTTTGTAAGTAAATCGTAAAACACCTATCAATGATTGAATTTAGAAACACAATGGGATAGCTGTAAGTGGCCTAGTGCGGGTATCTAGATCCTGATGGGTTGATGAAACGTGGCATTGTTTATGTTAGCAACTGTTGTTTTCATTTTATTTCGAGTAGGCCAAGTTCGTCAAGTATTAATTCTCTTAAGTGACACATTCTAAATTCTTTCTCAAAGATTTCAAATTTTTTACTTTATATTTACATAGAGACTTAAACACAAAGACAGGCAAGATGCTATGTGGAACATAAACACATTAATTATACATCGAAGTTGCCAGGTACCCCAAAAAATATATCACGGTTACAATAAAATACATCAACAAATAATATATTTAAGTTGAATAAAACAAAATGGACGAGAAAGAATTATATTTCAACTCATTCGATGCGCGATACGGCTCTATATTTAAATAAAACTTAACGTTAATTAACATTCTAACTTATGTAGAGAAACTTAGCTCAACTTAAACACGCCATTTCGCTAATAACGATAAGCTGGCCCTGAAGTCATCTGTCACATGTGTGGGTGTGGGAGGTCTTGAAGTGCAAGTACCCAATTGTGGAAAAAAATTGGCTATTTCTGAATTGGGTTCCTTGGACCTTATTTTCCCGATTGCGAGTACCCGCTATATTTTGAGGGTCAAGACGAATTGAAATCCGTTGAAAAAATCGTATCTTTATCTCAGAGAAAGTACGTCTTTGTGTCCGTTACTTAAAATATCGCCTTCACTCAATATTTGGCATTTTGAACGTTAGACCCTCGAACCATACAGAATAATACTAGTACGTGGAAATTTAATCATTAGATAAAAAGTTATTCAATGGTATCACTTTTTTTGCCTCATTTTACATTTACTATACGTCGAAGGAATCTGTTTTTGGTCCCGCAGTGGACAGATCGTTAAGACACGGTTCCCAGCAGATCGCCGAAGTCAAGCATCACTGGCTGCTGTCAGAGTGCGGGTGGGTGTCCACTTGGATCAGTCTGCGTAGGGACCGAGTGTGTGCGGTATGGGTCCTCGTTAAACTGTTCTACCGTAAAGTGCTCGACTTCGCGTGCAGGTCGTCGGGCTGCCGAAGCAGGGGTGCCATCCCCGCTGCAGAGTATCAAAACTGTGATGGCATGTCCTCGGATCATCCTCAGGGATGTTTCCCAGACCGTCGCCAATAGCCCATTGTGCAGCTCTAGTGCGACGTAAATAAACAACAATCTGTTTTTGCCCAACTCAGAAACTTAATCATTGTTTCTAAAATTTTATTTCGTATGAAACAAAAACAGTGCGAAAGATACATGCTAATTTTAAATGGTAAAAAATAATGTCATTAAATACATAATAAATGGTAGTCTTAAATATAAATAACATAATTATGTGACTGTGAGTGACAGAAATGGATGATTGTTGACTTCCACTTGTGAATGTTGACAGTCACATAGTCGCTTTGGAAAATGCCCGAAGTATATACTAGGTCTAGTGAAGTGCCACTGCCTGGTAAACATTTGCCCGTTATGCCCTACATCAATACAATTTAGTTAAAAGAAGTCAAATAATCGATAGAAGTTCAATAATAATTTTTTTAAATGTTCATTCAACTCATCTTATTATTAATAATTTTTTATTAATAATCTTATTATTAATAATTTTTAAAAATATTATTAATAATAAGATGCATTATTTATCGCTGAAATAATCAAAATCTCTAAACTACTCAATTTTTCTGCTCACGGAATCCCTGTTTTAGGTAGAGTAAAAGCATCTTGTCACAGCTTTAAAGCTACATTCATTGAAATAGCTTGTTTGTGGTCAGTTTAAATTATATTTCCCTCCGATGGCGTTGTCAACGAATGGATTTTTGAAAAATCTCTTATTTTTCACTTGTTGTAAGGTTGATGTCTTTTCACGGGCGGGTGCACAATTATTTGTAATCTTACGTACGGGAGAGTATGGAAGCTTACGTAAATTTGAGAAATCTCCCTATTATACCTGAAATCTACATTTTCCTCAAAAAAGTATTCTTGTTTCTTTGGTTTTCTTAAAATGGAAAATTTAACGCTGTGTTTTTACATTTCATTTTTAATATTCAATTTTCTTTCTGATCTAATTTCACATTTCTAGGAATGCTTAAAAGAAAATGTCATTTTAAACCAATTCTATGTAAGGAATGATTTTTAATGACACTTCTTAAATATGAAGATCTCCTTCTTTCTATTTTTGAGAGTTATTTTTGGCGAGTCTTCTCAAATGACACTTATAAAAATGACTTCGTTAGCGAAACGTGATTTCGGATTTCGCTGACTTTCACTTAAATAATCATTTCTTCCAGATTCAGTTCGGTGAGAGAGAGGTTTTATTTTTTTTTATTTTTTTGAAGATATAAAACTTTATTGGATAGGGAAGGTATTTTTTTTCCAACTCAAAAACAAGTCTTCATTGCAATTCTTTTAACCAAATCTTGTACAGTCGAACCTGTTTTTGCGGGCTCTTTTTTTTCGCAATTTTTTATGTGTGGATTTTTTTTGCGGTATGTGAGGATTTCAATCACATTGGAACATAATGGACGACAAAAAAATTTGCATATTTTATGGACCATTTAGTTTTTTCGATTTTTGATATGTATTTTATGACTTTACGTAAGAATTGCGTCAGCCACTTACATTACACGATACTTAACGATGATCCCCCGTCCACCCTTTTCCTCACACCTGATAGTATCTCCAAAAGGTAGCTTCTGCGATAATAACCAACAATTTTATCATATGTACCAGAGGTTTCCAACTTACAGGAGGCCGGGGGCCACAATTAACGACACAAATCAAATGGCGGGCCGCAACTTATTCAAAATTTTATGTAGGACTCTTTTATGTTTGAAGGAACAGTAAATATTACTGTCAGGTTTTTACCAAGTTGTACAAAACAAAACTATTGAATCACAAATTAAAATAAGAAGTGGATTTTTAAAAATACTTAATCGTTGCTAACAATATTTCTAAAAATATTAAATAAATAATAAAAATTTGGGCTACAATAACTTTAATGTGCACCTATAAACAATTAATGTGCCACAGATATCTAATTGTTAAGATATAAAACTAAGGTTGGTATTAAAACTTACATAGTACCACACAAAATGTTCTATGAGAAATTTGAGGTTTGTCTGCTGCAACCACCAGAGAATATATATTTACATTTAAAATTTACAAATGTGTGTGCAAATATTTTCGTCCAAAATGAGTGGTTTCAAAAAGTTAAATCGGAGAATTTCTTCGAGAAAATTTCTGATACACACATGCTAAATTATATTCACAAAATACAAAAAAATGAAATAAAAAAGAGCAACATACACGATTATTTTTGTATTTGAATAAATATTTTCTTGGATGCAAAACCCGAGAAATAAATTTATTTGCACCATTGGTATGTTAAATTTAACAGAAAGAAAGAAATTGGTTTCGATGAACGAGAAAAGTATTTTAAACCCATATAGATTTTTTATGAAAATTGTCCGCAAAAAAATGACAACTAATATATTTTAGTTCGCGGGGTACAAAAAATGGCTTCGTGGGCCGGATGCGGCCCCCGGGCCCCCAGTTGGGAACCCCTGATATTATACTCTGTAACCCTTGACTAGACGAGTTAGTTTTCTTTAGCTTATTTAAACGAATTGATGTGGCTGCGACTGCACAAGGATTTGTTTGTTTGCTCTTTAAAATCTATCGAGGATTTTTGACACCCCCCCAAATAATTTGTAATAACATAAGTGTTACATCAGTGGTTACCAACTGGCGGCCCCGAGAAGCCTTTTTTCATGGCCGCGCGAACCAAAATATATGAGCTGTCATTATTTTGTGGACAATTTTTGTAAAAAATCTATATGGGTTTTAAATACTTTTAAGTTTTATATCTTATCCATTTGATATGTGTTGCACATAAATTGTTTAATACATAGGTGCACATTAAAGTTATTGTAGCCAGGATTTTTTAATATGCAATTCAATATTTTTAAAAATCTACTTCCTATTTTAATTTGTAATTCAATGCTTTTGTTTTGTACTACTTGATAAAAATCTGACAGCAATATTTAATGTTCCTTCAAACGTAAAAGAGTCCTATTTTGATAAAGTTGCGGCCCGCCATTTGACTGGTGTTTTTAGTTCCGGCCCCGGCCTCGTGTAAGTTGGAAACCCCTGGGTTAGATTCAAGAATAATTCAATGTGTAATTAGAAAAAAAAAATTGTGGTTTTTACTTTGTTTTGATTCTTTTTATGATACTTTTTTATGACGTATTTTTACACTTAAATTTATTTTGTTATTATTTATTATTATTATTTGATAAATTTAATGTGCTTAGAATGTTTATTTTGGAAATTGCTTTTCATTATGATGGCGCCAACGCTTACCATGACGCGCATTTTAGCGAGCGCTAACAGGTCGATGGAATAATTCCAAAGTACTCATTACATTATGTAATGAATTCTGTAATCGCGTAGTTTAATTGCTGAACGCGTAAGAGTTTCCATTTAAATAAAAGAAATTCTCCTATTGCCATGGAATTCTTGCGTAGCAAAGGAAAAATTCATGGATCGCATATAAACATCGAAGGCATCGTCTTAGTTTCGGTTTACCTGCGTGTCTCGTTAGGTCGATGAGTTGAGTTGTCTCATGCTTTGTTTTGTTTGTTTTAACTCAGGGATGTTTCCCAGACCGTCGCCAATAGTCCATTGTGCAGCTCTAGTGCGACGTAAATTAACTACAACTACAACAACAACAAGTAGAAAAAGCTTACTTTTTTTCTGATTTGTTTCTGATCTGCGAAATTCGATTACGATTTTAAAACGAATAGCAGAAGGTGGAGTCTGTCGATGACTCTAAGTGATACTTTTTTTTATGTGGTCTGTATCATAATAAAAATAAATTTTTAATTGTGTT